ATCTTATAAAAATCGTACAAGAATCTTACGAAATCTGATGAAATCTTACTATAAGATCTTACATCAAGAATCAGTTTCTATGTTTCTTACAGAATGTTACAAATTCTCATACGAATCTTACGAAATCAGACAGAATCGTACAAGAATCTTATAAGATCTTACAGTAAGATTCTTTGACCTGGGAAGATTTTTAGTAGAAAAACAAAGGTAAAATCTTGCAAAAAATATTTACTGGAAATTCATTCTCAGCTGCCTCAAGAATCTTGGCAGTAATTTCAAAATTTTTTGCAAGATTCTTGTAATTAAAAGAAAAGGGAATATACTTCAGACCATTCATATCTGAAATAATAATAATAAGAATCTTTACAGAGACAAAACAAGATCATCAACAAGGAATGAAGGATAACAGGAGAGAAAAGAAAATGAAACGAAAAAAGAATGTTTTTTTCCTTTGTATGAGTATCCTTCATAAAAGGCAAATGAGTTGGAAAAAACCAACGTTATTTTTTCTTTTACATATTTTTAGGTTTTTCATAATGGTAAGAATTTTGTTCCAAGTTTCCACGTAAATTGCAACAATGAGGTCGCTGAGTGCTTTATTCAATTCATTCAGAGTCTGGTAGGAGAAAGAGATACAAGTAGTAATAAAGGAGAGTTACCTGAAATGTATATACATTGGATTTTCATTTGAGAAGTTTAATGTGAAAGATTTTTAATTAACATACAGTTTCAAGAGTAGCGGAAAAAAATCAGCAAAGTAATGCTTGTTTATCGTAGCTCAATGTTAGTATTTGAGAACAACGCCCTCTATGTTTGTAAAATGACAAAGTATTAGTCTATTTTACACACTTCGAAAATGAGTCATAGATGCTAGTTGCAGAGATGGACGAGGATGCACACTTGAAAGAAATTTGCAGCTACTTGGTACGAGGACTGACGACTAAGTGCATCCGCTATAGTGTCACTAAAACATATAGGATATTCAAAATTCGAACTGAAATTTACTGGATGAAAACTTTAGATTTAAATTAGCTTCAAATAACATTTTATTTCCCCATATTTTTTTGTTATGCTCAAGCGTAGCTACTGAGATCTCCGATGAGGCCGCCGCTCATCGGAGATCTCAGTAGCTACGCTTGAGCATAACAAAAAAATATGGGGAAATAAAATGTTATTTGAAGCTAATTTAAATCTAAAGTTTTCATCCAATAAATTTCAGTTCGAATTTTGAATATCCTACAATCCGTGTCATCTCCTTATTTTCTTCGCTTTCTAAAGAGCATTTTTACAATATAATATATATCTTTCTTTAGTGTAAATATGAAAATGAAAATACTAATGCATAAGGCAGAAAACCAACGTTACCTTATCATATTGAAAACTCTGATACATTATACATTTGCATCAGATACCATTTTCGTGTATATTCAGATAATTGTGCCACAATTATTTATATCAACACTTTCTAACAGCGCAGATGTCGATACCATTTTAGCAGCTCTTTTTGGAAAAAAAGTTTGAAACCAAGTACTCTAACTTACTAGTAAACAACTCCGAGTACGAGTGTGGAAAAAACTTCCTAAGTTGAACTTGAAATTATTTTGCAACAAGGACAAGATAATTCCTAAAGAGAGTAAAAGGTAAAACGAAAAGAATTACTCAAATGTGCTCACTTGAACTGTTTTACTAATATAGTCGGTGTAAAACTTTCTAAGACGAGAGTTCAGTCGATGGATTTCAGTACGAAAAAAGAAATGAAAGCTTCTTCTGTTCGTGTCTCAACGTACTACTGTTCAGACGGTTAACGCTAAAACAATCTAATCTTCTATCCAGTGTTTTTAATGATTAGTGGGTCTCGTTTGAACAAAATGGGTTTCCACTTTGAAAATTCGATTTCCACTTTGTTTTTAGCAGGGAAAACATGAAAAATGCAGTGGTAAACTGCGAAAATCCACTTTGCTTAAAATTCCTATTAAAAACACTGCTTCTATCAACTAATGGTTAAATTAAAGGTTGATCGAACATTGAAATCACAGAAATGAATTTTTGTCCTAAGAAAGCACATTAAGTGAAATCTGAGAGTGTGAATTCTTGTATAAGTGCTGCCACTGACCCATTGAATGTTTTACACATCCGGATTGCTAGCTTTGTGGCCTTATCTAACTTGTTTCCACGCCGTTTCCTATCGTACTCAATAGTGCGATAGTCAAACTTGCTTCAAATTTACATGACTTGTAAATGGTCAGACGTATCCTCTTTGAAACATTAAATGTACTTATCATAACACTTAACCCTTTCCGTCCTAATGTTCACTCCAGTAAACACTATATCGTAGGACCTCTACAGTGGCGGATCCAGAAAAAATTTTCGGTGCTGGCGGATTTTGACAAAAGAGCAAGTTTAACAACTTTGCGTAGGAGTTTTTAGACGACGCGGTTTTTACTTCTTTTACTTTATTACGATGTTGCACAAGAAGGAGAGTATAATAGTATGAAATAAAAAATTTCGGTGCTGGCGGCCGCAGCACTGCCAACACCCTAAATCCGCCACTGAACCTCTATACCAAGAAGACGATGCATCGATTGTTTTTCAGCATAAGCTGACATCATAATCTACCACTCACTATAAAGAAAGTTGTTTTCAATATTCTTTTTGTATAATTAGCTATACAGGAATAATCTTCTGCATGCAAGAACAGGCTCTCAAACGAGCTCTTTTCATATAAATTTGTTGTTAGCCTATCTAACAGAATCACTGAGTTATCCGTATAATGGTAGCACTATTTATCGAAAATCTCTGCAACTGATTAATCTCCATTAAAAGAACAAATTTACACACATTTTGAGTAATTTAACAGCACGAGTTGTAGTTGACACCATACCTTTATTTGCGGATAAAATACATGATACGTTGCTGATGGACACAATACAAGAAGGAACGCCATAGTGAACATTCAATAGCAAAGAGTACTTATAGGTATGATATCGGTGAATCGTTGATGAATATCAATAACAACAAAAGTCTCATAGTAAAGTTTTGTGTAACTTAAAAGAACAATACGCACACCCACTTCATGTTAGATACGATCATTAGTCTTGATTCAAGTTTTACTCTTTAAGAATACAAGCGGAAATAAAACTATTATAGTATTCTATAAATTAAACCATCGAAAAACATAAAATCAGTCTTGTATGGACGAACTTAGGTTCTCAATAAACATTTTACAGCGCCAGGAGTGAATAATATGATCGAGTATTTCCAGCATTGTTCACTTCAACATTAAGTGGTGTAACATATAGTTCGCAGAAATTTTCATGATGATAGTAACTTAGTATTTTCACCCTTCAATTTCCATGGATAATGTCGATTTTTACAGACTTTATTTGATGTTTCTCATCCAGAATAAGTAAGAGTTTGTCTAAAAAGTATCTAGTTGTTTCACTGTTTATGTTATTATTTTTCTTTTTTTCTTCTAGATAATCAAGAAAAAAAATCAAGTTCTTTATTCTTACAAACGAATTTTTAAAAATGATTAAAATCCTTCCTGCAACTTCTGATTCTAATTTGAGATTTCAACATCTCGATAAACGAAATATTTTCTCGAATACCAAAAACACTGAATTGTTACCACTATCAACAGTCGACGGAAAACAATTTATGATACCAAATGGAAATGACTATGAAACAAAACTTGAATCACTCCTTGAATATGTTAAACAAACACTAATTGTTGAGAGACCACATAGCGAAGTAGTAATTCGTGCAGCTGGTTTTACTTACGTCAGAAATTCTGATGATTCTGTACGATGTTCTGACTGTAAATTTGAAATAGCTGATTTAACAAAGTTAATTAGTCCATTCGAGGAACATAAAAGGCAGCGTCCATCATGTCCATTTGTGAGAGGAATAACAAGTATAGACGAGCTGAATGAAATAAAATCAAGTATGTTAAATTACCCTTGTACAGATTGAAATCCGACTATGATGTTTATTTTCCCCACTAAGATCCATCAACATTACGCGTTGGACTCAAGCCAAAAATATTGCAAAAGACTGATACATCAACATGTGTCATAGATGCAACAACACAAGAAAGCATTAATAAAGGAAAAAAACAACAGGAAGAAGAACAACATCCTATTTCGTCAACCACTATTTCACGAGACTTTGCTGAAGTTGAAACAATTCGACACGTTCGTAAACGCACGTATTCTCATTGGCCGCATCGAATACCGTCTCGAAATCAAATGGTTGAAGCCGGATTTTTTAATTGTAACGTTGGCGATCGTGTCATATGTATTTATTGTCATGCTATTTGTCAACAATGGACGCATAATGATGATCCTATTGAAATTCATAAAGTGTTGTCTCCACATTGCCCGTATGTTAAATCAGTTATAAGAGAAAATACTTCAGCAAATAATATTCAAATTGTGAATGAAACAAGTCGTCTAGCGTCTCAAACAGTTTCAGTCAGTGGTACAAGTGGCCCAACAAATAATAATAATAACAATGACGTTTGGCGACGTGATGAAATTGTTTTAACAGCAGCATGGAATATCGCTTACACAGAAATTCCAAAACGATATGCTACTTTCGCCACGTGGCCAAATGAACCATTGCCACCAGTTGATGATTTAGTGAAGTCTGGCTTCTATTATACGGGAACAAAAGCAATTGTCACATGTTTTTACTGCAATGGTTCGTTACAAAACTGGGGACAAAATGATAATCCAATGATTGAACATGCTCGCTGGTTTCCACACTGTGCATACGCAAGACAATTGTGTGGCGATGACCTCTATCGAAGAATTCAAGAATCTAAACAAGCTTCACAGGGTAAGTCCATTGTTTATCTAACGAAACATTCATCTCTTAACGTTTTTCTTCTCTCATGTTTTAGAGCGAGCTCGGACAAACGAACAACAACAATCATCGGTATCATTAAGAGAGGTCTTTACGTCAAATAACGACGAAAATTTGAACAATACTAATCATTCTTCAACAATTTCATCTCTTCCCAATAACCGACAATTAGCGATAACAGATGCAAATACATTATCAAGATTAGTGGCTGCTCGGTTAGATTTATCAGTATCGCAAACTTTGTTGAGTAAAAATTTTAAACTATCAGTTATAAAACGTTGTTATGAGGATCAATTGCGTTTGAAACGTAAGTATTTTTAATTGGACTCACTTGAAAATACATTAGATTGTCTAACAGAAGGGGAGATTTAAGAAAGATAGAAAAAACTTCAGTTTTTAAGTTTTTCCTCTTTATTTAGACGATGATTTTGCAAGTGATTGTGATTTACTATTAGCATGCACAATACTTCAAAAGCAAATTGATCATATCGATGGCAAGAAAGAAAATATCATTGTACCAAGTGTACATATGAAAAAATTACGTGAACAAGCGGAGAAAAAAGGAAGAGGTCGGTTAAAACAACGAAAGACTCAGTATCATATGAAACTCGAACTGTTACTATTTTTTTTTAGAGAGAGGACAAGCTGAACCAACTGCATGTTTACTCAACTCTTCAGCAACGATATTATCATCGACCTCGTCTTCTTCAACGACAGATGACGCTGACATGACTTCATTAACAAACGAATCGTGCGCATCAACTTGTTCGACATCATCAATGGAATCAAATGTTTCTAAAACGAAGGATGAAACACCCAAACCAAAACAACAGCAAAACCAGCAACAATCAGTTGTATCAAATGCGTGTGTACTTTGTCTGACAGATGAAAAACGTCTGGCGTGTATACCTTGTGGACATCTGTGTAAATATTTCTTATTAAGAATATACCATAGTTGTATATTTAACCTTCATTATTTATTTTTCTCTTTTACAGCTACATGTGTGCCATGTGGACATTCATTGAAAACCTGTCCGATCTGTAGGACAGAGATCGAGGCATTTGTACGAGTGTATATTTAATTCAATGTTTAGAAATACCAAATTCAAATTCATCTAGGTCCATAACAAATGACGTTTACTCTCAAACTCAAAATGATGACGTGAGGTTCTTTAGTAAATACAGCTTAAATTTTGGTTGTTATGTTATTGCCTGTTACAGAAAGACAATAATCTTAATTTACACAGTTGGTGCAGTAAAATGGTAATTGAAACTGGTATAAAAAGATCATAAATAAGAAGAAAGGATGTATTAATTCGTGAACGTCATAATTGTTAAGTTTATAAGAGTTCATTTTACGACATTACTAAAAAATTGTGAGTAATGAAGAAATTCGATTTTATTGGCAAATAAGACTTTAAGGATAATTCTTTATTATTCACTATCCAGATCTATGAATTGTGACAATTGTTTTTTTTTGAGTTTGTAATCAATAACATGATATTCAATCAATTTGTCACTCATATTGAGATACGTTTGTATATATTGTACATTTTGTTTGAACAATCATTCATATACTGTAATCAATTTATATCTTCTTGTTTTTCCATCTAAAAGCAGAAATTCTTTCTAACTGATACTTTCTGAAGATATGAAAAACTTATTGCATTATTCATATAAACAGGAATAAGCAATACACTACATTGAATCTTTTATGGCTTTAATTTCTAAATGAATAATACGAACTTTTGCGCTCAGTTCTATTGACATATTATTCACTTTATTATATTGTGGCAGTTATTACAGAAATTATTTAGTTATCTTAATTTGTTTATTCTTTTGATTTGTTTGAGGAGTTCTTCTAAAATTTTTGATTTTGAAGTTTTTGTGTTGTTAATACTCGTGTTTGTTTTATTAAGATTTATACTTTATTGAATTTGTAGTGTAAAACTACTTCTATTTGCTTATTTAAATTATTACTTTATGGGTTTCACTTGTGTTTGATGCTTATTATTTAAACACAATTGCTCATTCAATATTCTTATTTTCTTTCCTCTTGGTAATAATGTACATATTTCCGATTTTCATCTCGTACCCATCAGTTTTTGACTTTTTATGTTTAACAAAGACTGTTTTGGAATGTATATGAAACTCAAGCTTAGATTTAGATACATTTTTATTGTTTGTTTCTTCTCGTTCAAAATATATTTGTATACGGAAAGTAAAAACTATTATTTGGAAAGAGAAGGATATTAAAAATATATTTGTAACAAAAACAGTAACTTTAATATGTACATCTATATAAAAACATAATGATGCTTAAGTGATATCCTCTCATTATTATTAATATCTTTGTATCTAAAATATTAACATCATCTCTCTCTTTCTAACGATTTTTTAACTGTTCACAAGTTATCTTCTTATCAAGTTATCTAAGTATCATCTATGGTATTTCAATATGATGAATATTCTTCTTTTTTTTCAGACTTTATTTGAGGAAAAAAAACCATGACAGTTAGAGAACAATCGAGAATTTTATCTTATTACATGTTCGGAAGAAAACAATTTTTAATACAATATAATTATCCTCAAAATAAGCCCTATCCAGAGAAGAGAAAGAAGAGAGATAAATTTATGAACGCATTATTTACTTGGTTGATGTTAACATTGTGTATCCTTTTCTTGCTTAATTCCTTACTACCATACCGTGTTGCACTATAAACGCGAGTTAAATTTGAATAATGTTGTGTATATAATTATTTTGAGTTTATTTGAAAAAGGTGTCTTTTCTTTCTGTTCACCAATTGTGTTTTTTTTTCTATTTTCTATTGGTTTTTTCCACGTTACATTCAAAAACACATAAAATTTTTGTCAGAATGTGTGCATATTATATTTATTTATAAAATCTGTACTGTTTGAAGCACACCTAGACATCTGACATGAAAATGTTTTATATGAATGTTAGTAAAACCTAGAAACTATTGTAACAATATAATCTCGAACAGTCAGACGTGATAAATATCTTCCACATTATTCCGACGTGTACTCAACTTGTATCAATACTGCTCTATGTAGCTTAACTTAACTGAAAATATTGAAAGTTGTAATTAAGATATACTACCAATTTTATGTTCAACAATCTGAATTTTGAATTCGAGTACTATTTGGTTTTCAGTTTCTCTGACAAATTTTTTTGTTTTACAGATTTTGTGTATATTGAAAAGAAGAAAAATAACAATGCCGCGATATCTATTATATTTTGCTCATGAATTGGTTGATTTTCGATTAGCAGTAAGTGTCGCACAACATACTCGATCACAGAGAATCAAACAACAGTTAACTTCTTTGATAGATTTTTAGTCACAAATTTTGACTATTATATGTGCTTCTAAGGAACTCACACTAAATGACTTCTAAAAGAAATAGCATTGTTGCTTTATCGCCAAAATAGTGTTATATATGAAACCTTAATTTGTTGAAAATAAATTTGAATTTACGAGTGATAGAAGTCAGCATATGAAAAACAGACCGAATCATCTATTTTATTTATCAATGGGGAGAAAGTTACTATCAAAGACGTTTTACTTTTATGAACGTGTGTGATGTACATTTCTGATGGATAATTATATTACTTTTCTTTTCCTTTCAGGAATTATTTAGTTTGGCTGAAATGTTTGGTTTTCGTGACACTATGTCGATTGATCGAGTGCCTGAAGAGGTGTGTAATACCATAATAATACTTTCAAAACTATTTTCCTATTTTTATTGACTAAATTTAGTTCACAGGAAACATTTTCTCTGATAAGATAAATGTATGACATCGCACAGGAAATTTTACATGAAATTGGACTAAAGAATACTCACTGAAATGTAAGGTACCGGAAATTCAAAATTATAGAGTAGCCTCGGGTAATTATGATCAGGGTAAAAAATTTTCTCAGTATCCTTGAAACTTTACAGCTCTTTTTCACCGGAAAAAAGGGATATTTCACATGTAGGTTGAACAGCATCTTACCTATCGATCGATGTAAAAATTATCTTAAAGTTCATTAGCGTTAATTAGTACCAATCAATTTCCAACGAGCAGGTATCCACGGATTGTAATTACTCCACTTGGGGTAAATAAATATATCAGTCAACGGATACTGTTGGGGTAATTATGATCAATCCGTGCAAATTACACGAAATAAATAGAATTTGATGTCCGTCAGTCCAGAAGCCGACTTTTAGTCTAGTTCAAGTGAAAAACGTCTTCAGAATATTATAATTAATTACATATGTAAAAGGCGGAAGAAAAACGCGTGTTTTTAGCGAGTACTGTGCATAGAATGAATATCGTTGATTATAAATGCATTTCTGTTCATTAAGATTAGCAGAATAATTAAGTTAGAGCCTTAATTAGCAGTCGGATCACGAAGAAGTTGAACTTTTCATGTACAAAAAACCTCGTTCTAACAGACCAAAACATTTTTTAAAAACATACACAACGTCATCGTTTCATTTGGAATACACAACATAACCTACGACACAAACCTGATGTCGAAAACATAACTGTTTCTCAATAGCTTGAAAAATAACACAAATAATTTCTCAAAAAAAGATGTATCTGTTAGTAATGATTGAAACAAGATGTTATATAATTCATATACAGGTTGAAATGATAAAAATACTGATCGCATGTACATGTACAGAGGATACCAGTCCTTCTTTCCAAATGGGACAATTGACCTTGTGGATGTTTTTAAAAAACGTTTTGGTCTGTTAGAACGAGATTTTGATAATGTACATGAAAAGTTCAACTTCTTCGTGATCCAACTGCTAATTAAGGCTCTAACTTAATTATTCTGCTAATCTTAATGAACAGAAATGCATTTATAATCAACGATATTCATTCTATGCACAGTACTCGCTAAAAATACGCGTTTTTCTTCCGCCTTTTACATATGTAATTAATTATAATATTCTGAAGACGTTTTTCACTTGAACTAGACTAAAAGTCGGCTTCTGGAAGCTGGTGGATATCAAATTCTATTTATTTCGTGTAATTTGCACGGATTGATCATAATTATCCCAACAGTATACGTTTATCCATCAGAACTCGAGTTTTATCCAATACAAATATCATATTCGGAATCAGCGGCGTTTTCTTCTGTTGTGCTTTGTCACTGAGAAAATTCATTTTTGCGTCGAACGATATACATCTGCCATTTTTTTGTTGATTTTTCATTTTTTGGCCAAAATCTCTAATTTTTTTATGTGAAAAAAATTCGAAGAAAACAAAAGCAATCGGATAGGAAAAAGAAGTGTATTATTCAACTCATTTTTTGACGCTGATTCCGAATTGGATAAAACTTGAGTTCTGATGGAGATAATTGAGAATTATAGGAAAAATGAATTTTCTCAGTAACAAAGCAAAACAGAGAAAAAAGCGAAAAGTACTTTTAGCTAAAAGCTCGTTTAATGGTGGTTCCAATGAAGTAAAAATCTCGGCTTCATCTCTTTACAAAAAGAACTTGATAGATTTACAAAATTGTTTATGAACTTTTTACAGGACGAGTCCAACACGTCCATGTTGGATAGACCTTTGATTTCAACTTCGATCGAGCATCATCCTCATACTCAGTTTGAGATGCTGAATTTGAAAAAAAATACTTTCGAAAGGTGAGAAGCACGAAAAAGAAAGAAATTTGAGTTTTTTTGAAACCGAAGCGTTTTTCGAAATTTTAGACCTTTCAAATTCTTCTTTGAGAAATTAAAAATCACTTTTTCTTACTCAGCTCGATGTGCTCTATCCATTCATGTATAAATAAATGGAAAAAAGAATTTGCTATGATTTTGAATTTCCGGCACCTTAGAGCGAAGTTAAGTTTAGTTCTTAGATACGAAGCTGATGTAACAAAATTGATGAAGGTATTGGAATAGCGTATATATGAAAACCTAAGATGTCTGCTAAGGAATAGGAAAATTATAACGAGAGTGTTGAGATTATTTTCCAGTTTTCTTATTAAATTGTTTGCAACTTAGAGAATGATCTAATGTAAACTTATGAATTTATTTATACTAGATTATGTTTCTTTTTTTAGGATCCATTTCTGCTATGTAGTTTTCAGAAAACTGATCATGTTAGACAATATTCTTCTCGATCAGTACTATTGAAGTAATGCACAATGGTTTAGTCATCAAACAGGTGAATAACCAGTCTACTCATATATTTAGATCTGCATATGAATATTGGGCAAATGCTTCGTCCTTGTATGATATGATTGATAATTTAAAACCATTATCAGATTGTGTACGTATTCTAAATAGAATAGTTATTCAATCTTCAGAATTTGTTTCTTTTTATCCAGCGTCCATTACCATCTGATACATTTCGAGTACAGATTCATGTGTTCAAGAGACAACTTACTCAACTAGAAAAAATTGAAAGAATTGAGGTAAGTTTTCAAATCGATGAGCGAACACTAGAGAAACTATTCATTTGTTATCCATGTTAAGGCATTCACTGATTCATTAAAAATGACAAATAAATTTTGTTTAAGTGATAAAGCCGATTGTACAATTGGACTATTTGAAAGTTATGAACATGGACATAAACAACCAAAACAGGTCTTCTGTGGTAAATGGGTAAGTTTTCAACATAGTTAGAAGAAAATAAGAAATAAACTCATCATTTATTTTATAGCTTTGTAATGGTGCAAGAGATTTAGCTGAAAAATTTGACGTTAAAAAACGATATTTTATTGGCAATACAACCGTTAGTTATCAGTAATTGAGCAGATTGCGATGTGTTCCTCTAACAATACGACCTAACATTTTATTTCAGATGAATCCTACTTTAGCATTTATCATGGCTAATTTTGCTCAATGTCAACCAGCTCAATTAGTTTTAGATCCATTTGTTGGCACAGGTTGACCTCTTTAACTGATTTTTGATAGTGAATAATGTAGCTATTGTTTTTTGACTGTAGGAGGTATTCTTTTGTCGTGTGCTCAATTTGGTTCGCACGTGATAGGCAGTGAACTTGATTGGAAAACATTAACAGCGAAAGGTAAAACAAGCCATGTACTGTACGTAGTTGCTTGTAAAATTCTTTTTTGAACAGGAATTTCTTCAAGAGTTGGAGCGGGCAGACGAAAAGCAGATGAAATGATGTATCAAAATTTTTTAAATTATCAAATAGCTGATCGTTTCATTGGTGCCGTAGGAGCAGATTTTGCCTTCTCACCATGGAGAAAAGATTTTAAATTTGATGCAATTGTTACTGATCCACCCTACGGCATACGGGAATCAGCTCAACGTATTAGCGGTGCTAAAGATGAAGTGAATGATGAAACACTGGTTGATGGTCATGTGCAACGAAAAACAAAATATAATCTGACAACAATATATGAAGATTTATTAAATTTTGCTAATAATTATCTTCGATTGAATGGAAGACTCGTCTTTTGGATGCCAACACATGTAGCCACGTACGTCACACTTTGTTTCTCATTAATTATAATAAATATTTTTTCTGTTATCTCTAGATATGATGAAAGTCTTATACCAGAACACCCTTCGTTCAAACTAGTAACAAATTGTGAACAAGTATTACATTTGTCAGTTAGCCGTCGTTTACTGACTATGATCAAAGTACGCGAAAGTTCAGAAAATGAAAAGGCACATGTGAATGAACGGTTATTTAATAGTTTTCGTGAACTTTATTTTACTCCTTACGATAAAATATGGCAACAAATGAATTCAAACACAACATTAAAAGAAAATGTTAATGAATGAATTAGAATTTGTTTTTATTACTGTGTTTTTGTAATAAAAATTATTTACATTTGAAATGAAATCTTTTTCCACTGAAGTCTCAACCAAAACTTTTTTAATTGAAAATATCGATAATATGATTCTAACAGCAATTGAGAATAGATTTATTAATTAAAGTGACTTTTAGCTTCCTTTCTATAAGTATTATAGTTCAAAGGTATATATCATTGTGAAACATTGGATTCAGATATTATTTGTATTTTCATAATAACAAAAATAACTTTCATACAAAATACATAATATATAACTAATGTACAAAGAAGATAGGTAAATAGAAAAAGAAGAGAAAAAAACGCACCGCAAGTATTTAAAATAATTAAAAAACAAAAACAAATTAGCACCTTTCATATATTGTGATTGCGAAAATACGTTGATATTTTCTGAAAAAAATTATCAATTTAATCAACTGAAAACGGAATAGTCATTTGTTGAATTTAGAATATGGGTTAGATTAGTTCCTGTAGCATTACCCAATCCTGCTGGAGCAATAGCTGGAGGCGCAGGAGATGCAAGATCTGTTGGAAGTTGATTTGCTTTAGGAAACATCACTATCATTGATAAAGCTAACCAAAAACAATAGGCAAAAAAGAATGTTCGATCTAGCACAAGTGCTACAAGCTTCCAATCATTGGCTATTTTATTCGATCTTTCAGTGTCTTCAATTTTCTTTTTCATATGTCTCAAATAATCTCGTATTTCTTTTAAATCATTCTCAATATTTGTTAGATTTAAACTTAATTGTGTCATTATTTGATGTTCACTTACTGATTGTTGATTATTGTTTTGGTATTGATGTGAATTAAAACTTTTATGCTTCTGATATTCTTGAAAACGTTGTTTTAATAAATTTAATTTTTTACTAAATTCTTCTTCATGATAATGAGATGTTAATAACAATTGTTCGGGTAATAGTAATGGCGATAATGTACTCGATTTTGATTGTGATGGAACTTTAGGTTGCATGCAATATAAACGAGCTAAATAATGAAGAAATATTTTTCGTATTGTTGGTGGAACACCTTGACGGCGATCACCACGAACAAATATGTGAATAACAGTCGTTGCACAAACAGCCGTCACAGCTACTACGATCATGTTCATGCAATAATAATAACCAATCTTAGGTGTCCCGCCACCGCCTAAAAATGATCATCATATTAACATAATGAAAATATTATGCAATTAAAAATTACATACCCGGTATAGATTCAGCTAAGAGCAATAAAAGTAAAAATAGACCAGAGAATATACTTATTGTTAAAATCATCTTTGATGGTGATTCGGGTGGTAGCCAAAAGACGACCATTGTAGCTGCTGATAACAGTAGACAAGGTAATATCAGTATGTAACCGTATAGACCACCTTTTCGTTGTATCATCAATGTAAAAGTGAGCATTGAATATGTTTCATTTAATGGCGATTTTGTTGCTATTTTAGGCACGACTCTCCATTCATTTGATATTATATACGTGCTCATGTCGATAGCTTCAACATATTCTTTAAAATCTAGTATGATTTTTGATTGATCATATGTCCATGAACGAAAACCTAAACTACACTCATGCGTATCATAGGGAAAGTTTGTTATATCCAAAAAGCAAACACTAAATGATATTGTTGCTGGTACATACAACACATCGCCAGTATGCTGAATGACCGCTTGTATATCACGTCTTTCTTTTAATCTCTCATCAGCATAATTATACAAGACCACATCCTAAAAAATAATAGACACAAAGTTAACCATTAAAGAGAGAAAGAGAGATTTCCAAATAGAGTACCGGTGTCCATATTAAATCTGCTGGTATTCTCACGGTTTGTAATCCCCCATATTCAGTTTCATTCCAAACAAGATTAATATCATTCCACATGTATGTTTTCCACGTATTTGTCTGTAATGTTTGAGTATTACTTCCGAGATCAAGTAATTGTGCGAGGGTTAATTCAAATTGAATTTTAACCGCATCCGATACATTTAGTATGGGACGAGCATAAATAGTTGGATAATTATCTAATAAATCTCTTATCAAGCGTTTTTCATGAGTTAAACGTTTTGTTTTTGTACGATTTGATGTTGTTGTTGACGTATCATTTTTAGAATTTATCATTGATTTATGTACACCATCATTACGGTCTGTTTTTGCTGTTGATAATAGAGGATCATTGGTAAGTGATAACACAACATGGATATTCAATATAATAAAGAATAATGTTGAAAATATAGTAAAAAATGGTATGGTGAAATGAAAAGCTATTTTATATTGTCTCGTACGTCGTCGTTTAAAATAATGAGGAAAATATTTATATGAATTGCGATGAGAAGATGGTAATAGTAATAAATGGTCAGAAGAAGAACTACAAGACATTTGCATCATTCATTTGATCAAACATTGGATCAAACGACGAAAATCTAAAGAAGAAAGTGTTTAACCTTAACACGTCTTGATCTATGGGTTTATTCAGTATTTGCTCTTGTAAATAGAAAAACAATACTTCAGACTCTTAAACTTTCTTACTTAATATTACAAGAGAAAAGATGGATTATAATTGTTGTAATGCATGTAATTACGATTCAAAAAATTTAAGCTTCTTTTCTGTTCAATGTCATTTTATTAAATATAATGACCTCATTAAATACTTTTCTACAGGAAAAAAAATAAAGAGGCTTTTTTTTGTTTTAGATTTGAATAACAATGATAATATCTGTATTTTTCAATAATAATAAAAAATGATCATCACCATCACTTTCGAATCTTTTTCATAAATTCTTTTTTTCCCTTTTTTGTTCACACTTGTCCCACATCATAACTTTATCATTATTAGTACACATACATAAAGTAATTTTGACATTTCGTGTGGCTGATTTACAATAACCCTTGGGCAATTTTTCATACTTTTTCTTCTCCAACTTCTTCTCTTTTTACTTCTTTCGATCGCTTGATACGTATAGGATTAAATATATTTCTTTTTTTATAGATTAATTGAAGTTGAAAAGAAGAGCGAGAGAGAATGAAAGATAGAAAACTAACATTCTTCCTAGTACTGAAACTCCAAGGTATAGTTCTATTCATTTTACTTTTTTCTTTGACTTTGACACAAATAAAACTTGACAATCTGACACAATTAAATTTTACGAATCAAATATTATAGATGACATGTAGCATCTAGTAACATACATTTGAAAAAACCTACCTGTCAGTCACTTAAATATTGATTTTTACAAATAAATCATCACGAATACGATCAAAGACAACCACGAAATGTTTATGTTCTTAAGAGAAAAGCATTGTAAATTGTTTAGTCAAATATCAAGAGAAATTCTGTCAGATTATACCATATAATTTAATTTCTTCTTTTCGTCTTTATATTGTTGAAAACACGATAACATACCGTGTGGATACTTTAAGAAAATCTTCTTTTTTTCCTTATTCTCAATTCTTGTTTTCTTCTACAGTATGTTTGAGAAATTAATCTAATGTAGATAAAATCCTTTTAATTCACACAGATGAAAAACATTATAAGTTTCTAGCAGAAGAGGAGCCACGTTGAATTTAGTTCATTGAACACACTACAAAATATCAGCCTATTACGGAAAGGAAGTTAATTAAAAAATGTAATTATTTCACGGTGGTTGTTAGATTGTGGAAATTTATGGTATAAAATTGTTACTGATAATTAGAAAAAGAGAATGTGTTAAATTTGGAATATGATCGAACCATTGAGTTAAATAATGAAAATAGTTAAATAGGATTTAACACACGACCCCAACAGCTTAACTTGTCTAGGTGACCTATCAATGAGACATCAAACCACAAAAATAGTGCTCAATACTGAAGAAAACTTGATACAATAGATGAATATGTCATTTTCTATAATAATGAGCCCGTCAATAACAAAAAATTGGATATTGTTTTTAAGAACGCATTCTTTATTCTTAGTAGACTACCTATTTCAGTTGCTTATCCACTATAAACTAATAAAAGTATGACTTTTTGTTAATATATTAAAAGATATATCGACAACTGTCGTTATTTACAGTACTCTCGAATAGTACAACCACTCCTGTGTCGCGAGAATCAAGATGGCTAATAATTTGAATTATGATCTCGTCATATTCTAATCATAAACGAGAGTTTCAACTCATTTAGGTCCATGGTTTCTAGGATATCTACTTATTATTATTGTTTTATCAAAATGTAAATAACTTGTGAGCCAAGGGTGGTAATCAATTGTTTCTTTCATCACAATATAATGTTGAATGTCAACTATAGGTGGTATAAACTTTAGGCATTCGCGTTTTATTAGTACAGTTATTTTACATTATTTTTGAAACAATGTTCGTTGGTTTAAAGACATTCTTTGACTTAAAATTTTCAGGCAATAGCATGAGAATTATACACAGAAGTTTGAAGGTTAAGTATTGTAGGCGTCAGATTCTCAATGTATAGTACCTTCGTGAGTAACTTTACAGAAAACGAAGAATATCTCTAAACCAACAAATGAACATTGTTTCAAAAATAATGTAAAATAACTGTACTAATAAAACGCGAATGCCTAAAGTTTATACCACCTATAGTTGACATTCAGCATTATATTGTGATGAAAGAAATAATTGATTACCACCCTTGGCTCACAAGTTATTTACATTTTGATAAAACAATAATAATAAGTAGATATCCTAGAAACCATGGACCTAAATGAGTTGAAACTCTCGTTTATGATTAGAATATGACGAGATCATAATTCAAATTATTAGCCATCTTGATTCTCGCGACACAGGAGTGCTTGTACTGTTCAAGAGTACCGTAAATAATGACAATTATCAATATATTTTTTTGATGTCAAGTATAAGAACTTTCATTGCTTGATAATATATCATTATATAGAACAAGTAGACACTTATACTGTAAAACGATGACAGTTTTTTGGTTTACGACACACATGCATCTGTTTCAATATTCTAGCGATCCATTGTGCACCTATATAATATCTATTGACTTCGACATTTTCCATCGTTATGCACAGATGCTAATTTTCTAGTTAAACGATAAGATTTTTAGATAAGGGGATTAAATGAGTATTTGGAATGCAGTCTAATCTCAACTTAATACAAAATGAAATGATTTGCAGATTATATCAACAAGCTAATAATGATGCAATACATCAAGATCATGTTATATCTCTTTATATAATTGATGACGTGCCTGAAAACACCACGTCTATCGTACAGAAAGGAAAACATCTACTATGATAATAAAAGATCATCATCGTTCTGTCGTAAATTGTTTTCATGCTTTGATAGATTAACGTGATTTTAAACTTGATAACGTTAAAATATACACAAATAAATTGATTATACTCTTAAAAATTAATAGTAATATTGAGGAAAAAGACGAGTATATTACGCATAATTTCTATTTATTTACAACTGATATTTGATATGTTAGTTTAATCAAATAACCCTCTAGTATATTTTTTGCATGTGTATATATATCTAGCATGCGTAGTTAGTTACTTTGTCATGGATAAAACAGAGATATAATTCCAGTGAACTGTTTATACCAGGATTAAATAGCTAAAGTATTACAAAAAAAAAAATAAAGAAAATAAGATGAAATCTCTTGAGGCTATATGCACAAATGAAACAATATTTTTCAATCATCGAGAAAGGGAGCGAGCGGCGACTACACACTAAATCATGTGTGTATGTGTTCTATCAGCACTTACGCACGATTAAGTATTAAAGTAGTAGAATATTTCCACAAAGGGTAGGGTACGAGTTTCCTTTTAGCAGGAGAAAGTAATCATATATATATATATGTATGTTCGTTTACCGAAACAACAGTAATGATTTTTATACTTTTACTGTTCAGCTTAAAAGCGTACGGTGTTCCAGTTTTTTGTTTTTTTTTCATTATTTCTCCGTATATATCTTTAAAATCTGTATAGTTTTAAAAAATACTTACGATTAAGCTGATAATTCTGATCCAGGTAAATAATTTGATAAAAATTCATATTTTCCACGTTCTATTGATAATTCAAAATAGAAAAATCTATAAAGTCTTTTACATCAATCATTCCGTTTTCTTGTTGTTTTCTAATAAATAATTCTTAAGGATTTGCTGTTATTGTTTAATAAATAAATAAAGAAAGAAAGAAAAGAAAAAGTTAATTTAAAAATCAACTGACTTTAAAAAAAGCACACACACACACACACATATATATATATACACGCTAACTGCAACTTCAGACACAAATTCTAGGATAGAGAGAGAATACGCGATCTATAAAAATTACTAATTTTTTTTCTCTGTCCTTAAGAACAGAAAAAATAAATAATATACACATACACACATTGCATTGTGGTGCATGAGCATTTCATGTTACGCTAGCTTTGGGATAATAATAATATATTAAATTATTGTGAATAGAAAAAGAAATATAGAAGAAGAAATAAAAAACGACCTTAGAAAAATCGACATCATGTGTTGAAATAAGAGTCAAAATATCTCTACATATATCTACGGAAAAATAGAGAAGAAATGAAATAAAATCCTGTTTCTGACTTTCTTTTTCTATTTTATATATATAGAGAGTTATTATATTTTAGTGATCGAGAACATTATTATGGCATAAGATCTAAGATAGAGCGAAAAAAATTAGTACCTTTCAACGTGACATTGAGTGGACACTGTCCATCAATTTTGTTTATTATTTAACAACTAAATCAAATTAATCAATCTATTTGATAAAAAAAGATACTCACAAAAGAGAATATTGTCAGCTGTCTAAATCAATAAAAACATTCCGTTTTCATAACTATACATTTCTAAAGAAAATTTACATATATATATATATTATCTATCGTTTAGAAATCATATTAGTTTTTGAGAAGCATAATAATCACTTAGACACTGGATTCTATGCTTATTACTTGTTATCTCATAAATAATCTACACTATCGTTATAAACATGGATTTTTACTCTATAAGATTCACGTACACAAGAAACTGTTAAACACGTATTTTTTGTGCTTTAATAAAATGAACATCTTTTTTATTCACTTTACTCCATAAATCAATTAGAATTGTGTTTGCCAAACTTTAGTTTTTGGATTATTAGTCCTTCAGAACGTTGTTAAGTGAGTGAACTTTCACTTCCAATTAACATACTATCTATTCTCACGAATAATCTATAGTTAGATAGATACAATCAGACATGATAAAAAAATATTCTATAGTGAAATAGCGTACCACTTGACAAATGTATCAATGATTTTGTAACAAAAAGAGAAAAAAAAAATTTTTTCTATAAAGATTCAATTGTGCATCTTGAGATGGAGAAAAGAACAAACAACGGACAATATATATCT